GAAGATAGCAAAAGTTCTTCAAAAATTCGATGTACGTTGCGAGCTAAGAAAAAACGTAACCTATGAAAGATACATATTATTCACCAGAGCACAAAAAAACAGTGATACCATTGATCAGTATGTCACAACATTAAAGAGGCTTAGTGACACCTGTGAAATTGGGACATTAAGAGACACTCTCATCAAGGAATAGTCCTGGGGGTGAAAAATCAGAAAATTCGTGAGAGACTTCTTCGAGAGCTAGACCTAACCCTTGACAAAGCACTTGATTTGGTTAGAGCTGCAGAACGAACGGAAATGCACATCAAAGTAATCAACGACGGGTCAGCGGTACAAGGAAAACACGAAGAAATCCAATCGACCAGAGAAAACTCATAAATTAATCAGTTCCTCTGGAAACAATCTTGCTGTGTTAGGAACTACAGAACTCACTGGGAAAAAAAGGTGAAATCCATACTACGAAATTTGCAATTGCACCATTAAATCCATAGTATATCCATACTATTTCGATACTATATCCATACTATGGAAATATACAATTATTATGGATAACCAAAATCCATTCTATTTCCAATAAAAAAAGCATTCAATTTCCATACTATGACCTATGGAATTTCAAATTTTTTTCCAGTGACTATCTGTAGAATCAGAGACAAATCAATCTAGAAACTTAACTTTCTATGTGGTAGACACAAATCAACCAGGTCTTTTGGGACTCAGAGCAGCTCAGGAACTCGGGTTGATAAAAGTCGTGGGAAATACCAGAGTAGACTCAACGACCAAGAAACCACCAGCACATCTCAAAGAAGAAGTAATCAAGAAACATGCGAAAATCTTCACTGGTTTGGGTCGTTTAGAGAGAGAATACCACATCGAAGTTGATCCAACACCGGTCATTAATCCTTCTCGAACTATTCCAGCTACTCTTCGCAGTAGAGTGAAAGAGGAACTTGATGATATGGAAAGGAAAAACGTAATTCGTAACGTGGAAGAGCCAACTGATTGGGTCAGTTCTATGGTTGTGGTGGAGAAACCTAACGGAAAACTTCGTATTTGTTTAGAGCCAAAACATCTAAACAAAGCAATGAAACGTGAACATTTTCAATTACCGACAATTGAAGATATGACAACACGTATGGCCAATGCCAGGTAGTTCTCCAAGCTAGACGCCAATCATCGATACTGGCAAATACCCTTGGACGAAGACAGTCAACTCCTTACCACTTTCAACACTCCTTTTGGCAGATATTGCTACACTTGCACTCCATTTGGTATCACCTCAGCACAAGAAGTTTTTCGGAAAAGGATATTGACGACATCCTTATTCACGGGACGACAGACGAAGAGCATGATCGACGCCTCGAATCAGTCTTAGAAAGATGTGAGAAGATCAATCTAACCTTAAACAAAGAGAGATGTGAATTCAAATCCAGAGAAATCACATTTGTCGGACACAAACTGACAGAAAATAGCGTTAAACCCGATGAAGCGAAAGTTAAAGCTATTAATGAAATGGAAGAACCAACAGACAAGAAAGGTGTGGAGAGACTGCTTGGAACTGTGAACTATTTAGGAAAATTCATTCCAAATTTAGCAACCCTTACCAAACCAGTCAGATCGTTGTTGAAGAAAGAGATCGAATTCCAGTGGTCTTTCGAGCAACAGAAAGCATTTCAGGATATTAAGGACACTCACCAAAGATGAAGGTCCAGTATTAAAGTTTTTTGATGTATCGAAGCCCGTCACCATTAGCTGTGATGCGTCACCTACAGGTTTGGGGGCAGTTTTGTTGCAGGATGGCTACACAGTGGCGTACGCGTCAAGGTCGTTGACAGAAACCGAATCAAGGTACGCCCAAATAGAAAAAGAACTTCTGGCTGTGCAATTCAGTCTTGATCGATTTCATCAATATGTATACGGAAAGGAAGTTATTGTCGAGTCAGATCATAAACCTCTGGAGATGATAGCAAAGAAATCGCTGGCATTAGCACCTCCTCATTTGCAGAGATTACTCCTGAGAATACAGAAGTACAACTACACTATCGTCTACAAATCAGCTAAAGAAATGACATTGCCAGATATGTTGTCAAGAGCTCCATTACCCGAAACTGACGAGGAAATGGAAAAAGAGATTAATTGCACGTACATCTCGTAAGTTCAACCCTACCAGCTTCAGAATTCAAATTACAAGAAATTAGAGAAGCAAGAAAGAGCGACGAAGGACTAAGAACATTATTGAATATTGTTCAGGACGCAGTCCTACCCAATTGGAACATTCGCGATGAATTGGAATCATCTTGAAAGGCGACCGTATTGTCGTACCATTAGCAATGAGAAAGGCAATGCTACAAAGAATACATCATGGTCACATGGGGATCGAGAAATCGAAGCGAAGAGGATTTGCTACAATTTTATTGTAGTATAATTAAATCAACTCTGGAATATGGAGATGTGTTGTGGTATGGAGGTCTGACCAATGTTCAAAGTGCAAACATTGAAAGAAATTAAATATTTTGAAATATTATCATGAAATATTTTGTAGCGTCAAACCATCTTAAGATGCAAACGCTGAGTGAAAGACGCGAGAATCATTGTATAGACTTGATTGCAAATCTATCTTCGCCTGAGCACCGTCTACAGGACCTACTTCCAGACCCCGTTAGAGATACAAGACAAAGAGAAACTAGATCTAATGCGAATATGTATTATAATTACACTGGCCTGTAAGGCCAAGTGTCTTAAATCCCCCTTTTTCTGTTTTTTATGCTTGTTAAAAAGGGACAAAACATCAAGATCCATATATATATATTAAGATCCATATATGTATGTCAAAATTTGATATATATGTATTAAGATTCATATATATGTATCAAAAACCGTATATGTATGTCAAGATTCATATATATATATATATATGTCAAGATTCATATATATATATATGTCAAGATTCATATGTATATGTCAAGATTCATATATGTATGCCAAGATTCATATATATGTCAAGATTCATATATGTATGTCAAGATTCATATATATATATGTCAAGATTCATATATCAAGATTCATGTATGCTTTAATGAAGTACTTCTTGACCGTTTAATTATACCGCTGACCAAATATTTATGTAAAAAATAATAATATAGCGATTAAAGATGGCGCATTTCATAGATAATCTTAGACAGTTCTTTGAAGAGTTTTTACAGTGCGTCTACTGTAAGTGGGGCCACTTAGAGAACACTAACCAATCACATTGCAGAACAGAAAGTGAAAAAATCAACAAACGGCGCATTAGCCAATCAGCATTAGGGCAAAAACAATTCGGACAAATAAACGAATGTCAAACGGTAAAAATAGACATGTAAAAGTAAACATTGCAGTTAATGGCTTCCTGAATCTTTCTTTTGATTGGACGAGCTTTAGTTTGATTAGATTTTTCTTTCTGTTCTGCAATGCGATTGGTTAGTGTTCTCTAAGTGGCCCCACTTACAGTAGACGCACTGTAAGATGTATTGGGGAAGCAATTGCGGGGATGAGTTCAGAATACGAACCAAATCGTGTGGACAGCCTGTTATACAGGCTATCGGAATTTGAAACCACACTTGGATTAATTTCAAGTCGTGTTGGAGAATATGACAC